AATTAAACTAATCCAAATTAGATTATTTGATAATTAGCAAATTAAACTTATCCAAATTAGATTATTCGATAATTAGCAAATTAAACTTAGTCCAAATTAGATTATTCGATAATTAGTAAATTAAACTAATCCAAATTAGATTATTCGATAATTATTAAAAAAAGAAAAAAAAATGAAATTTAGTAAAAACACAAAAGTGGCAAAAACTTTTCTCTGATAATATATTTGTCATATTCTTCATCCATCCTTAATTTCTCTATTTGGTCCTCAATACAGATGACATCATTTTTTTCGCCGTATTTTATTAAAAAAAAAAAATCAAAATAAAATTCAAATGATGAAATTTAGTGAAAATGTGGAAAAAATATTTTCAGATAATAATATTTCAAAGCAAAAAAGGTTTTTTTTTCTTTATCATCAATGTTTCAAATAAGCTCTGATAAAAAATTGGTAAAAGTGCAAAAAAGATTTAAAGATATAATTTGGAAAATTTTGTTCAAAATTGTCAACAAATATTTATTTCAATTATAATTTTGCTGTAAATATGATATTAGTCTAAAATAATTTATTCTTTTATCGTTTTTCTTACATTCGAAATAACATTTTGGAATAATTTGAATTCGTTGTAAAATTTATCATCCATTTCAGGATCATCGATAGATTATGGTAAAACATTTCTTAAACTATTGCAAAAAAGAAAAAATTACCAATCATAATTATGATTTTTTCAGCATATACTTTAAGTATATTAAAGTATAATAGTACAGTATATTAAAGTATATTATTATAATAATATACTTTAAATATATTAAAGTATACTTTAATAAAGGCAATGAAATTGTTTCCCATTATTTTTAGGCATCCCATAATACCTGTTGAATTCTATGAGTTATTTCATTGGACATTTGCGCTCAAAAAAAAAAAAAAAAAAGAATTGCAATAAATAATAGATTCATGATTTGATATGCTTAAAAAAAATTAAACCTTACTTTATATAAGATTACAAATATTCGATTTCGAATTGTAATGTGGATATTTTCACAGCCCTCTTATAATTGTTCAAGAATCAAAATCATAGTTTATATAACGATTCAAAAGTATTCTATTCCTTTCACCTATAACAAAATAGAATATCATAATCGAAAATCATATTAATTTATCATTTATATTCAAATTTCATTGTTGTAATAATGAATAATTGTTAAATAATGATTACTATTTTACATAATTTTGCAAAATGAATGGAAAATTTATTTTTGAAATGAAATAATCATTTTTGTAAATGTTTTAGCAAGAGGAAAAAAAAACAAAGGAAAAATTTATTTTTCATTCCTATATGTAATAATTTAGCTTTGATTTGAAAAATTCAAAAATAATTTCTTAGATGAAAAAAAAAAGTAAATTTGTTTCTTAAAGAAGAAAAAAAAAAAGTAAATTTATTTCTCGCCGATTTCAATTATTGCAATGTAATATTTTTCTTTTTTTAAATATTTAAAAAAACTAAATGTTTTAATGGAAAAGGAAACATTTTCAGGCTCTATTACGTCATCGATAGCATTTTTTTTTGTTTTTTTTTTCCGGAAATTTAAATCGAGATTATTCCATTAGCATGATTTGATGCATTTTCGTCAAAGGATTAGCCCCATCTTTTTTTTTAACTGATTTAATTTGAAAATTTCTAAAATTTATTGTCCACAATTTAATTTTACTCTTTTTATTTTCAACTAATCCACAACGGAAGCGATAATGTATTAGCAAAAATGGAAAGTCAAAAATGACAACCACATTTAACAATTCTCATTCAAATATTAAATTATTTTTAACAATAGTTTGATTCGAATAAATGGACTTTTTCCTCTCCCTAAAAATCCTTTATTATTTACTTTTTTTTTTAAACTGTTATCAAACGTCATATTTTGCTCCGTTCAGAAGCATTATTTATCAATGATATCAATATTATTTTTATTATTCATAAACAAAAAATAATTAAATTTGCGCAATCATTAAAAAATTTCCTTGCAAATTAGAATCTCTAATACAGTTCATATATTCTGTATCATTTCATCACCTATGTTCTTTTCCAAGCCAAATAAATCGTATCAACATGAGAAGTGAAGCAAAAAAGATGAAAAAAATGAACTGTCAACTTTTCAAAATGATCCATTTAACAGGATGAAAAATTTGGTTATTAAAATATAAAAAAAATTCGAAATATTGAAATATGCATCCAAAAATTGAAATATGAAATATTATAAAATACATTGAAATATCGAAATACTGAAAAAATATTATATTGAAATGTTGAAATGTGCATTCAAAACTTTTCCAAACTTTTTACATCAATATTTATTCCTCAAAAAAAAAACTAAAGAAAAAATTATCTCGAAAAAAAAACCCATTATGAGATCCTTATTCCGGTAAATTAGCAAGTTTCTCAATCAATTTTTCATAAATTATTACACCATTTAAAAAACATTCCTCAGTAATGTATTCATTATGAGCATGAAGTAATATAGGCGTTTTATTGATTGGACTAAAACCGATCGACCGTATTCCTTTCTGGAAAAAGAATAAATTATTTGCATACATATTTTTATTTCTATCAAAAGGTGAACTTAACAATATATTTTTATTAATGAAAATAAATTAGAAATCCCCTCACATTTTAAGGAATCAAATTAACATAAGCTAATTAAAAAAAAAAAAAAAAACTGTTAAAAACTATGCCAACATTTTGGATAAATTAAATAGGACGAAGAAAAAAAAAAAAAACAAAAATAAAGGCAGATGAAATTAATAAACCTGTCTTAGAAAACGTGAATCGGTTGATCCCGGAAAGATGTTCACTGATATCGGATAATTCCTTAATAAATAATCATTAAAATTTACAGGAAAAAAGGAGTAAAACTTGAAAGTATTCACAGACAATGCTTTAGTGGACAGTGAGAAATAATCTTAATATTATTACATTATTTGAGTGACCAAATCGCAAAACATACAATTGTTTAAAAACTGATGAAAATGCATGCCACCACGGGTCATCATCTGTTGCTGGGGTCATCGCCTTGATTCGTGAATTCTAAGGTTGTGCTAATTTAAATTTCGAAATAGGAAATTTAAGAACACATTAATAATACTTAAGTATCTTAAATGAAATGCTAATATTTACATATTAATGATACTAAAGTATCTTAAATGAAATGCTATATTTACATATAATAGTAAAATAAGTATACTTTTATAAAGCTATATGTTACATCACTACCAGCATCTGTGCACCATTTGCTGATTTGATTTTCCAATTCCTGCAAATAAAATTTAACAGTAAACATCAAGTGCATTGATAATGACTGATGATAATATTCAAATTTTTTGCACTCCAATCAAACTCCTTTAAAATGATGCAAAACTTTGAACTGCTAAAATTAATGCCATATGCCAAAATGATACTCAACCTCAAAATTGTGCGTTGGTGGTACTCGAAGATCGAACCCTAAAAATTAGAACAGTAACAGTTTTTTCAGTTCCAATAATCAGTAACAGTTATCGTCAATGAAATTAAGGCAGATAATTACTAACTGCCTAATTAAGGAATAAATTGCGGAGTAATTTAGACATTTGGCATATAATGGTTTTTATTTACATGACAATATACAATAATCCTGTGATATATATTAAATATCAGAAATGTTAATTAGCATGGCTTCATTAATTGATGATTGCATGTGCTTAATACTTGAGTTCTACCAAAAAATTTGGAAATGAAACTTACAAACTTTGATCTCCGTTGGTAACACATTCATCTGAACTCCACCCTAAAAGTTCATTTTAGCAAAAACTTTTCGTCGAAAACTTTTGTCCAAATAATTTGTTCATTTTAATTCATCACAAGATTATTTCTATACAAAGAAATTATAAACTGATCATTAAACGATTAGCTTTCTTTTATAATACCTTGATCTTCATTAGACAAAGTAATTATCATTAAAATATAATATGATACTAATGATTATCGCAAATTACATGACAAAAGTAAAAAATAAAAAATCAGTTTAGAAGTACCTCAATTTTTGTTAAATTTACAGAAATCACATTAGATAGCGTTAAATCCTTATTCAATTGAAGTAGCTTTTTTTGTTCATCTCTGAATCTCATAAAATTGTTGATTATTCTTTGCTGAAGAAATATCTGTCTGTCTAATATGTATGATTATATCACGTTAAAGAAAAATTACGTATATTACGTAGTTTACGTAGAATAATATTTGTTAAAATTACATCAAATGATCCAATGAGATACGAAGAAAAAAAGAGAAAGAGTTTAAATTTGTAGCAAGAACAAAAAAAGTGTTCATAAACTTAAGTAACAAATAAAAATGTAAATTTAAATATTTCACCAATTTTTCACTCGCAGTATTTTCGATTAACTGCGATCCATGTCCTGCTTCACCTTTGCAACTTATAACAATCCCTGAAAAAGAAAGAAATAAACAAACTGATAATTGTTTTGAATTTCTTTACATATTTTAATTTTTCATTACATAAATTAGCTATTTATAAAACTGCACATTGATTTAAATTTCCAAAAATTATTTCAGTTTAAAAACGTTTGAAATAAAAACAAAAAAAAAAAACAATACACCATGGACATCT